TCTGTCACTTAATATGAATCTATCGAGGTACATATTTTATTATTCTGTGATCCTTTTCTTAAACATATCATATTTACACTTCGGCTTGCTATCCAGAAACCTTCGAAATTGATGGAATATCTCAGTACTCTTATAAAATTTTCTAAAGAAACATTTCACTTCTAAAATACATATAAAAGCGTTGGAGTAATGACGTTCGAGTATTACAAATCCGTCTTATAAAATAATACCAAACATATAAAACATGTCTAAACTTCAATAAATTAAGGAATTAATAAAAACTTTTATCCTGTAATTGTTTGAAAGAGACACAAATCTTAAATTTAACTGCATAAGTTCCCTTCTTAATTGTTACAAAATTTAATTATTCTATTACCTTATTAAAAATGCCTTTTAAGTATTAATAACATTAGTATACCATTCCGGAATACAAAAGCTCTATTGTTTTCTGAAACTCTACGAAAGTAGGTAAATTGAGTAACGAAAAGTTTAATATGTGGTAATTTTTAGGGCTAACAAATTGTAGTTAGTGTTAACATCGTCCGCTTATTAAAACAATGCTGAAAGGAGTCTACGTGGGCATACAATCGCAACAAAGTTATAATTACAGTGACTACGAGTTATTTTAATTTTTCGACGATGTTCAAACTGCTTCCAGTCCTTTTTTAAATTCATAGCATTTTTGATGATAAAACCGTTTTTGCAAGTAGCGAAATTTCATTAAAAATAAAAATACCGGTAGGTATTTTGAGAATTGCTTAAATACTTCAACAATCTTGACTGATAAAAATTCAAAATCAATTTATTGTTCAATCAACTGAAATAGTTCACACATATTTTACTTGTAGATAGACTACTTTAAAATTTTGTGATTCTTGTTTGTTAATGAAGCTTTCATGAATAAAAATATTTTAAAATGAGTAAACATTTCTTCTAAAAATTAATTCTGTATAAACTATTCCTGTGTTGAGATCTAGTGGAATTATTTTATAAATTGTTTTCATTCGTTTCATAACAAGATATTGTGTATGTATTAAAATTACAGTAGCTATTGCTGTTGCCCTACTGTAGTAGTGGAGTATTGAGACGAGGGTGGACGCAATTGGCTTAAAAGTGACATAAACGAGATATTTATTTATTTACTAGGCGACCCGGCGAACTTCGTATCACCCTATAATCAAGGAATATCTGTTGCATTTTTATCTGAATGAAGTTAATATTTTTATTCCTCTGAATGGAGTCTTGCCTGATTCAACCTGAAAAACATTAATCACTTAGTTTATACTTTTACATACATATTAGTTTCAGAACCAAAAAACATTTTTTGTGATAAAATTTTATAAATTACTTAAAGCTATGATAAACATTAAAAACTTAAATTTTTTATTTACCTGTAACTGGATTTATCATCTTCATTAAAATATTCATATTCATATTATGTTCGATGTGTTTCGGACACAACACTGATCAACTTGTTTTCTTGAATCGCCCATGAAATTAATTTGGAAAAATTTAGTCACTGACCGGCACTGGTGATAACTAATAAGTTCAATGATATATTAGTCCTGGAATCTGCAAAGGTAAACATTCCTGTATTACATATACATAATATTGTAAAGTGAATTGTTCAAACCACCAAGTGACACTCAAAATACTCTGTGAGCACTTCCATTTCCCCCATCAACTTTTTTAACACAATTCCTTCTGGTCTCTAAAAGTAATTCACAGAGCTACAAATGTACTTTAAGCCATTTCAAATGATACACCATTACAATTGAAAACTGTCAACAATAGTGGTAAATGTTTTTCAATACACTTACCTTAAAAGTTGGCATAAAATTTATTGTACTGTAGTCCATTTCTGTTATAATCAAATGCAGCTCTATAGGGGTTATAATCAAAACTTCTATATTGTTGGTTTCGGTTCCATCGATTCCGTTTAACTTCATTCCGCGATTCACGTTGCTCATCAGTTAGACTTGCTCTTCTATTTCTTTGACTTGAGGCATTACGGGTTCTGCGATTTAAGTTTGTACGTCTAATTGCATTCTGGCATGTTTTCAAACAAAACTTCAACTGAAAATAAAAAATACTATTATTCTATTCCTATTCTTTTGTAATAGTATCAAAATGGTGTATCAAAACTTTTCAACACTATAATAATTTGACTTACCTTGTTGAACAAATACTTCAGACAAAAACACACAATACAAATTATCTTGTAGAAAGCAATGTGAAAATTACTCTAAGAAATGGTAAATGAATTATGTAGGTATTTTTTATTATAACTCCGGCCACAAATAGTAAAACTGAATAATATGTACTCGTACAAAACCACACAAAAAAAACAATTTACTGTTTGCAAACAATTTAAAAGAATAACTGAACTTTTAAGACAGAGACAATAGTTTATCATAGACTAATACAGACACACAAACGTCAAACTCAGCTTATGTATCGCGCATTTAAAAGTGAGTAATTTTAATCATGTAAATCATAATTTAAAAAAAAAATCAGTTTTATTTATTTATTTATTTATTTCTGAAATACCATCGGCATATTCTCAAACTATATGTTGAAAAAAAATATATAAAAAAAATAAACTTGTTCGGTGTGATACACCATTACAGGTATTTACATTATTGCTTACATTATAACAAAAGAACTAAGGGTAAGGTAAAAACTACACTAAGACATTTAAAGAATATTACAATAAAATAACATATCAATAAAAAAAAAAACTAAGATAAAATATCAATTACTAACTAAAACAAACAAAATAAGCTAACAAACATATAAAGATCAATTATCAACTAAAACAGTATTTATTATTTTTTTAAAACTATTATTACTTTGGCTGTATATGTCGACGACATGGGAATCAATTTGATTGTAGGTCCTCATGCAACGAATTAAAGGCGCAAAATTTTCCGACATTTGTGCGAAATCTAGGAATGGCGAAGGTGCTTTTAATTGGATATCTAGGAATGGTTTTCGGAACATATAAATTTATTTGAGAAAGTAGCTTTGAAGAATCTACTGAGTTGTGAATGAGCTTATGTAAAAACATTAAGTCATTCAGAGACCGCCGTTTCTCCAATGTATCTAGCTTGAAATATTTCAAACGTGTTACATAGTCTGCCCGATATGGACAGTGCCTGTCTTTATATGCTAAAAATCTTGTAAAACCCTGTTGAATTTTTTCAAGACGACTTTTATAAATTTTGTAACTTGGGCTCCAAACTGGTGATGCATATTCTAAAACACTACGAATTAGGGAACGATACAACGTTATAATAGCTTGAATATTTTTAAAGTCATGACATGTTCTTTTAATAAAACCAACGAGTTTCAAGGATTTTTCTATAATTTTGTTGATATGATTACTTAACTGTAATTTTTTGTCAATAACTACGCCCAAATCTCGGACCTCTTCAACTTCCGCTAATTCTTTATTGTTAATAGTGTAGTTATATGAAATTATGTTTATGTTTTTAGTGAATCTGATATACTGACATTTGTTTGCATTGAGTATCATTTTATTGTTATTGCACCACTGTTGTACTGAATTTAAATCGCGTTGCAGAAGTTCTGCATCGTGAATAGTTTTAATTGGCCTGTATAACTTTAAATCGTCAGCGAAAATTGAATATTCACTATGATAAATGTAGTTCTCGATATCGTTAATAAAAAATAAAAATAATATGGGGCCGAGATGGGAATGGTTGATTGGCTGAATGGCCGAGATGGGGATGGTTGAATGGCCGAGATGGGGATGGGAGTTCTATTTTCATTGTAGTGCTTTGTGTTAAACTATGTTATTTGTTTGATTATCTGGCGACATTAAATCCTCCAACGACGTATTCTGTGCTCCAACGCACACACGCACATCGTTTTGATAGATATGATTGAATTTGAACTTTGTGTAGCGGTAAGAAAGTGCAAATTTACTTTTTGACGTTAGGAACACACCTGCATTTCTTAGATAACAGTGAGTGTTTGTAATTGAATATGAACTTTATACAATAGCAATAAAGCTCAAATTGATTCTACGTTTTAGTTAGAAAACGTTTGTATGTAAAAAAGAAAAGGGTGGTTTTTAGGGTTTTCCCGGCAATTATTCGATTTTTTCTCGCTGTAAGAACCATTTTTGGACTTAAACGAACATTTAAAAAAAAGAATTGGCCAAATTGGTCCAGGCGTTTTTGAGTTATGCGCTTACCAACACATTTTGCGATTCATTTTTATATTATAAGATTTATTCTTTATTGCACCCAATTCTAAAACTAAAAAATAACATTTTCGTTACATATTAGTTGCATGAGGTGCAACAGGCATGAGGCAGATATTTAAGGACAAATAAATATCCGGACAAGCCAGTCGGAATTCCAATAAAAAAAATATAACTCATTAATATTTAATATTATTTTCTAAAGTTTTCAAGGTAAAGAAAGTAAATAAAGATATCATTATTTCTAATCAACAAATTGAAAATACACATTGCTTTGTGGTTTACATTTATTTCATATTTCTATTTCCCTATGTATAGACGGTTTTTTTTGTTAACTTTGTTTCAAAGGGTGTTTAATTTATTTCTACGACTTCAAGTGGTGGAGAAATCCAATAGTGATGATTTTCGAAAGACGACACACTACATGATACTCAAATTCTCAGATTTAAATTTTCCCCTAAAAATAAATAATTAATTATTAAATAAAACTGATATAATACATACAGTGAATAAAACTACATATCAGTCATAACTGAAGTAATATCAAAATATATATTTCATTTAAGAAATGCCTTAATTAAGAATTTTTCAATGATAACAAAGGTTGTAATAAACAAATAGTTTATCTTGAAGACCATTTCATGAACATGAAACTGCTTAGAAGTCAAGTTCATAGTTTTAATTACCCATTAAAACCCGATTATTAATCAGTAATTTATTATATATAAAGATAATTTGCCCGTTTAATATCTCATGGGTTTATCATAAGATTCATTAAGATTAGATCCTAAAGTAATGCGGTCGTGTATTTTATTTTGTTCTCTGCTGGTTTTTGTTCTGTCTCAAGATACCAAGGCTCGTGAATCAAGATTGGTTCATATAGACTCCGGTCTGGTCCGAGGGTACAAGGATACTCATGATGATGTATTCGTATTCTATGGAATACCGTACGCTACAGCACCGACTGGGTCGGAGCGATTCCAGGTTAAAAAGTTTTAAATTGTAGATGTATAATATATATTTTTTAACCTTTAAATTTTTTTAAGAGCATCGCACATTTTTTTAAATATAAATGTTTTATGCCAATACCATATCGACCACATGTTTAAATTTTAACGACATTTTTCGCTAGTAAGTAATTTATCTTACTAAATATTTAAAAATTGTATCGTTGTATATGGGTTACAATTGTTTTAAAATTAATACCACTAGCTTCTCAATACCAATAACGGAAACACTTGGGTATTGAGTAAGCAAGTTAGATATTGTCAATATCAAAGATTGTACCTGAAATATTATTTTTCCGCACTTTGTTTTAGAGTATGTTTTATATGAACAAAAAAGTCATATTTGATAGTATCATAAAATAATAGCAAAATCTTTAAAGTGTAAAGTATAAGAAAACTTGCCTACGGCGCAAATACATTTTTTTAATATTGTTATTTTAACATTTCAAAACTATTTTACATTACTTTCTTAATAAAAATAATCATTTGATAAATTTTATACGTATTTTATTTATTGCGTTTTAATTATATTTATCTATGTAGGCACATGGTTTAAAATAGACATTAAATTGCTATAATAATAACAACATGCTCTCTTTATGTATCTTCGGGCTAAAGTTTATCAAAATCTTACATAAACGTTGTTTTATTACTTTAAACAAATATATATCTACTATCTGTCAAAGACATAATACCAAAAAAGTTGAACAGTAGATTTTTCTTCTCAGTTTTAATTGTTTTTTTTTTTCTAACAGTCGAATAGAAAATCATTAAGTTAGTATTAAACCTCAATGAAACTTTTAATCATCCAATAAATTAAAAAAATCACAAAAACATACTATGTTTTGAATTTTTAGGAGTAATTAAAAGGTACGGAAAAATAGTTATACACCATAAAATTTTAGTAACAAAATTTAAGTTGTGACAGTATATTTTATTTGTTAATTCCGTTAACAAAATAGTTAGTATAAAGTCAGTTAATTTTAATATTATATATGTTGCCTTGTATACTTTGTACTTATGCGTCCTTAACTATTTTAGGCTCCACTTCCTCCTCCAGTTTGGATGAACACATTGGAAGCTGTTAATAATACAATAATATGTCCTCAACGAAGGAATGAAAATTTGATACCAGAATCGAAAATCATGCAGGAAGATTGTCTTATTGCAAACATTTACGTGCCAGTGGCAAATGACACAGATCTTTCAGTTGTTGTCTATATTCATGGCGGAGGATTCTCTTTGGGTTACGGAAATCTAATGACACCAAAAAAACTGGTTGCTAGCCAAAAAATTATAGTTGTGACGTTCAATTATCGATTAGGGGCTCATGGTTTTCTGTGTCTTGGTACAAAGGGCATACCCGGCAATGCTGGAATGAAAGACCAAGTTGCTTTACTGCGTTGGGTGAAGAAAAATATTGGTAATTTTGGAGGTAATAGAAATGATATCACACTAGCTGGATATAGTGCTGGAGCTTCATTTGCTGGTATAATGATGATTTCGAAAGTGGCTGACGGTCTATTCAATAAATTAATATTGGAGAGCAGTTCAATATTAAGTCCTCATAGTTTCCAACTTGATCCTATACAAAATGCAAAGGAATACGCAAAAATGATAAATATTGATCATGTGGATGATATGTCAAAATTAGAAAATGAATTTAAAAATGTACCATATAACATATTGCAATCAGGAAATGTATTTGATAAAAAAGATTTCACATTTACTTTCGCACCTTGTATAGAGAGAGATAATGGTCAAGAAATTTTGCTCAAAGATAATCCAGCTAATCTTTTAAGAGAGGGAAACTATACAAAATTACCTTTGTTATTTGGTTGTGCAAGTATGGAAGGTTTATTGTTTATGGACAAATTTAATATATGGCAGAAAGAAATGAATGAAAATTTTGCATATTTTTTACCAGCTGACTTGAATATAAAAAGCAACGAAGATAAAGCTCTTTTAGCTAATAAGGTTAAATCATTTTATTTTGGTGACAATCAAATTGACAATAATTCTGTCTTACAATATATTTATTTTATGTCCGATGTATTTTTAACATGTCCTTTAATAAGAACCATAAATAATTTAGTAAAAGTAGGACACAATAACATATTTATGTTCAAATATTCCTACACGGATGAAAACACCCCATTCGTACCACACACTCACGTACGTGGAGCTGATCATTGTACGTTGACTTATGCAATACTAGATGGATTTGGACCATACTTAATACAAAAGGATTCTTCTACCAGTGATTTCATTAAAATGAGGATCACTTTAAGGAAGCTTTGGGGAAGTTTCATCAAGAATGGGTAAGATTTAATTGCATCTTTATATACATAATTCTTCTGTGAGTATGTCACTGAACTTCTCTCAAACGACTGGACCGATTATGATGAATTTTTTTGTGTGTGTTCAAGGGGATCTGGGAATGGTTTAGATTCACAATTTTGTCCGCTGGACAATGTCTTTTTAATTCATTAGTAGTTGTTGATACAAACGTTTTTTTTGAAATTAGATTTGACTGCTAACTAATATGTCAATCATTCTGTCGCACTTTAAAACACGGAGATTTATGGCTTTAATAGGTAAACTCCAAAAATATAAATAAAAAAACGTAACAGATATTTCTTGATTATAGGGCGATACGAAGTTCGCTGGGTCTTCTAGTATTTTTATATTTAAATACCGTTCTTGACTCATTTACATACAAATTTTATTGTTAATTTACGCTTCTAATATTAAAGCTTATTGAATAGATTCGGGAAACCGTTATAAATATTAACATTAACATTTTTTTTATTTTACTTAAAATATATGTTTATTTATTCAGGTTATATTTTGCCACTCAATTTTAAAGCAGATATATTCAACTAATGGAGCTAAAATTTTTTACGAAAATTGAATTGCATAATAATGGTTAATTTTATTAGGTAGTTCTTAATTTTATTGGTTGGAAATCTTTATTGGATTTATATTTTGCTAATAATACATTAACTCTGTGAGGTCTTAATTAAAAATGGCGAAACCTAAAATCTATGACAAGACAAATCTATCAAAATATTTATCAAACAAAAAGTTTCGTCGAAAATTTAAAAAATCGGCCATAACGTTGAGTATTAATGTAAGAATACGATTTGTTGTAAAACGATAAATTAAAAAATATATATTTTTAAGTTTCAAACATTTACTATCTTCTTGATACATATATAACATGCATTTTAGCCTAAGAAACTGAAGTAGTAAAAATCCATTAAGCTTATTCAAATGATGACATTTGTAGTATTTCAAGAAATTTATCATTTGTAAAAGCAATAAAACCATACGTTAAGATTTGTTGCCTCTAAGGACTAGTTAAGATTAACGGATCATGTCATGGGCAAAATACGTCATCTTTACCACATTTTTACTTAATACGTCGGTTATATTTTATATATTTATAAACATATGCTTTGATTAATACAAAATAATTGAATGGTTTCAGGAGTCCTACAGCTTCAGAAATCCCAGCGTGGACACCAGTGAATCAAAATTCCTCGTCTCACATGATTTTCAAGAAAGATTCGGAGCCCAGTGAATCCTTATTTGAAGAAAGGTGTCTATTTTGGGATGAAATTTACAGCTCAAATTATAAATATCCTATCGCACCTTAAACATCTCACTCTTAATCTCACTTTACGATGATGTAGAGACAGAGAAGATCACTTTAGTCTTATATTGTTCATGTGTGTACTTAAATTAGGTCTTAACTATGATAATATTTGCAGAACTATCTTATAAATAATTTGAATATAAATGAAAACTTAGCTTTCTTGAAACATATTTTTCCTTAGGAAATACGCTGGGAAATAAAATTTCTTTTCATGTAATCACTAAATTAAAATATAACTTTGAGAATATTAATCACCAATACATATTAATCACAATTACATACCCTCGTTGTTCCGATAAAAAATCTAATTTAAATTCGATTTACATATATAAAAAAAAATTAAAAGAGATAATCCTAGAAAATTAAAATAGTACCTTTCACAAAGTGCAAAACGAATGTTTATATTTACAACAAATTGTATCATTACTAGTTTTTATCTATTATTATAGTTGTTTTAATTATAAAAATTCTTTAAAGAACCATACTAAAATTAATAAATAACATAATTCTGCACGTTTAGATAAATATTACAGTATTGGGTATAATTAACAATTTTTGATGACTTTAATTTGAAAATCGGTCAGACCTTCCTATCTATAATTTCCAGATTATGTCTGTTATTTATTATTTTAGCAATTATATTTACAATATAAGAATGCTGTTAGAAATTAAAAATTACTTAGTAATAATAAGTAACCCTAAAATTACATTATTCAGGAATGAAACTCCTAACAAGTACCACGAAATACAAATTCAAAATTAAAATCATAGAATATATTAGTTTTATTTATATAATTCTTGTTATTATTTTTAGGCAAAAGTTGTAGGTCTTCTATTTTTATTGGCTTGTTCAATCAATAAAGTAGAATCAAAGGGTTGGTTTCATTATACTTATACTCCAACTTTTGTTATTAAATTCCTAAATACATTAAATGTATTTTATTCATACATATTTGAATATTATCGTATTGATATTGTTTGAAACATTTTGTAATAAAAGGATTTGTTTATGACTCAAACTTCTCTCACACTCTACTGTAACGATACTGCCCTAAAGGACAATGCAAGGCGATTATTGTTACTAAGTCAATATTACATATAGATGAAACTCAACAAGCCACAGTGTCAATGGGACATTATACTGACCGTTAGTGACCGGATAAACTAACTTAAACATGGTCCTATTCAGCTTCAAGATTTAATGCAAGATTAGCGACAGAATATTCCTGTCACATTGTCAGCAGTAATGGATTCTTTAAATATTTAATTATAAAAAATATTTAGAATATTTTCAGCGTCTCTGTTACCGCTATGTAACATCGAACAGTTAT